TTCTTCTTGGGACTTTCACATGTCCACGCCACTTGTCCCGTCGGTGGTCCCCGACACTTAGTCCCGTCGGTGGTCCCCGACACTTAGTCCCATCGGTGGTCCCCGACACTTAGTCCCGTCGGCGGTCCCCGACACATTTCGCCCCGGACGCCATTATTTTTACTTAGTCCCACGTGGCCCTGGGTGCCTTTCCCCGAGGTGTCCCATGCCCCTTGGGCGTCTCGTCGCCCCATCGCGACCCCTCTCCTTAGTCTTTCCTCGCGCCTTGTGCGTGCTGATCTCTTTGGTCGTGGGCCTCCGCTCCGAGGCTCCCGTAGGTGGCCCCCACGTTGGCCCCTCATTTCCTAGCTTCCCGCGGCTTCTGGCCGCCCATCCCTCGACTTCGTTATTCCCTTATTGATGTCGCGCTGCAATTGCTAGTTCAAAGGGTCCTTTGGATGTAGTCTTATTGCATTCCGATGGCCCCCCCGGCCACCTGCTATGTTCTATGTGCCCCTGTTCTTGCGCTCGCTCGCTTGCCGCCGCTTAGTTCTTTCCCCCGGTGATTCTCTCCTCGGGGCATCACTCCCTTCTGCAGCCTAATCCTTTGTCTTTTCTCTCTCCTGCTTCCTCACTCCATATTTCTCTGTTGTGCATAAATTGTCTGTATTCAATCTCTTGAGTGATGGGAAGTTATTCGCGACCCACCAGTCCTGACAACGGGCCGGATTAGAGAGGGTGGAGGAGGTTCGCGTGAGCGGAGGGCGTAGGGGGAGGTTTGCGATAGAAGGCAACGGGCGGCGCTAGTAAATCGAGCGCGGGCGCCGTCAAAGGGGGAGGGGTGGTTCGGATCCAGGGTGGCCGAATGAGAAGGGAAGGGAGGGGGGTTAGAAGAACCCTGAACCCTAGAAAAACCCTAAGAAAACCCTAACCGGAGTTTGAGTGGTTAGGGTAGGGTACCGGTGACCTAATCAAGAAAATAAAATAGCAAGCATAGGGGGGGAAGGCGGGAGGAAAAAATAAAGAAACAGCAAAATTTCAAGAGAAAATGAAAAATGTGAAGACAGAAGTAATATTTATTTTTTTAGAATTTTCGGCAGCATTTCCCTACCCCCTATGGGGTCAAGAATGTGCCAAGGGAAAGGAGAGGCCAAGATAAGCACACTAGGTTTCGAAATGCCGCAAATTTAAAAAATTCAGAAAATAAATAAAGAAATAGTAAATAAATAAATAAATTGCAAGGAACATGAATGTGGACGAAGCACAGAAATCCAAACTGCAAAATCACACTGAAGTCCGAGTAGTCAAAGCAAGAGCAGATAGCACAATGGAACCAAGTAACCATCCATTTAAGAACGATACAGCAGAATCGTGAGTCAGTGTCCAAGCCCAATCGGGCAACACCAACCACATAAGCCAACGTAGCTCTCTCTCTTGAATGGCGCCAGGCGCCCTATCTACTCTACAGCCTATCACTACAACTACAGCATGGAAGCAACCAGACAACTTGACGACCAGCAAGTGATGACGTCAACACCAATGCCGACCTCCTCTCCACCAGGTACGTCTCTCTCTTCCCCTCACTTTCCCTGGTTATCCCACACAGCGCCCTTCACCTTCCGAAGAACCACCTTCGCCTTTCACCTCCTCTGCGCCCACAGGCAGCCCGGCTATGGCCGCCAGCGCCCTGCGCCCTACCGCTTAGCGCCAGCCTGCCTCTACCTCAGCCTAGCGCAGCGTAGTACCAGCGCAGCACCTCGCAGTGCTTCAGCGTGCCGGCATTGCTCGCAATGGCCAAGATCCCTGCCCACTCGCCCTCTCTGCCTATATGCCAGTGTTGCGTGTGGGCGATCTCCCTTGAGCCTGCGGCTGGGCCCCAGTACCTGTACCCAGGCCCAATGCGGTTGGGGCCCACGAAATACAGTTGCGCCTCTTTCATCAAAGCCTGCGTCCAGATTCAGATAGTGGACCGGTTTCCCATTGGCATTTTCGGCCTCTATATCCAACATGCAATGTCGGCCTCACGTTTATGTGCCCAGGGACCTAACCAATTTGGGGGCCCTAGTCTTTCTGCATTTGCAGAGATCCGGTACTCGGTGCACTCCAACCAACTGGCGTGCGGCAACTGTATGGACCCCACTTCGTGAAATGTTTGAACAAAGGGGCTCTCGTTGATTTGCTGGCCCGCCTTCACTTAGGACGGGCACGAGGCTTGCTGGGGGCCTCAACCCTGAACATGTACATCACGACAAGGTCCCTTTGAGGGCTCAATCCTCACAAAATAAGTAAATAAATAAGTAGATGAGGAGGTAGAGAGAAATGAAGAATCTGATTTTTCAAAAATTTCGGCAGCATTTCGTTACCCCCCTGGGGTCAAAATGTGTGCCGAAAAGGCTAAGTGAAAGAAAAAATAGAAAATTTCGGCAGCACTTCGTTACCCCCACGGGGTCAAAATGTGTGCCGAAAGCAAGAATGACCAACTCCTAATCAGATTTAAGGGTGCAGCCAAGAAATTCAAATTTTCAAAATAAATAAATAAAAAATAAAATAAGTCAGAAAATGAGAGAGGAGGAGGGGGGAATAAGATAATTCAAACTTTGGGAGAAAAGTGCAGTAACCCTGTTCAGAAGCAGCTTGGGGCCCAGAACTCGGCCCCAGGCCACGCAGACCTGAGTCGGTCTGCACTGGGTTGTGTGACCTAGACACGCCCAGGCCTGAGTCTGTTGCGTTTGGCTGTGTGACCAAACGCTGCACACTAGAAATTCAAGGGTCAAAGTCAACTGTAGAGTCAAAGGTACCGTGCCCAGGCCCTTGGTTGGATACACTCACTTGTTGTGTGCAGGTACCCAGACAGCATCCAGGCCGGAGGGAATTCGGTTGCAGACCAATCTGGGCCCTCGTTCACATTGAGATCTCGACGGCTGAGTGACGCAGCATCCGGGGTCCAGACCCCGTGTCAACGCTACATAAGCGCTGACCTCCTGGCTTTGACATTCATTCATTCTGTCTTGCGTTGACGCTGACTTCATGCGTTGACGACAACGCTGGCTCGACCTGCGACGCTGGCTGGACGCTGGCTATGCCGGCATTGTGATTTCGGCAATGCGCTGCTTGTCCAGCATGGTGGCTGGCTTGCACCTGTCTTCTTGGTATGCTGACGTGGCAGCTACCACGCGCTGTTGCTGACGTGGCTACTGCCACGTGTATACTGCTGATGTGGAGAGGCTACGGACTTGTATTGCTGTTCTGAAGATCGTCATTCTGGAGAAGATCAGGACTGTGGAGGATCGTGATACGTACCTGTTGTCTTCATGTCGACATTGCTCCAACGCTGATAAGATACTGATTAGACATGCCACGTGGCACATTGTAGAAGGACTTCATTCAGACTATTGATTCTTGAGGTGTTGATTGAGGAGGGAGCCCGAAGTAGGAGTGGGCATTGTACTTTCCTCTCCCATGTCTAATCTCCCTCCTCTCTCTTCGTCTGTGTATGATTTCCTCATCCCATTCTGTCTGGTTACGATTTTGATTATTGGTAATTATCAGCGGCTCGATATTCTGGACTTGGATTGTTGACGAGTATCTTCACGATCTGGGTTCATTGCAATTTGGTATCGGAGCAGTTCTCCTGACGACGACATTGTATACATGTGCACGCGCCAGGTGACGTGCAGGTAAGTGTAATGCACACGTGACTTGAGTAGGTGATGACGTGGCGAGAAGACATTGCCAGGGGTGTTGACGTGGCACAGGCTTCACTAGTGAGAAGACATTGTCGAGGGTGCTGACGTGGCACAGACTTCACTTGCGAGAAGACATTGTCGGGGGTGCTGACGAGGTACCGACTTCATTGGCGAGAAGAGATCCTTACCAGGCTGCTGACATGGCAGTAGGGACCGTGACCAGGGATACCGCATGCCAGCCAGGATTGTGATAGTGACGTGGTATCGCGATCCCATGCTGACGTGGCACATATAGTGTTGCGTTTGAAGACCCTGTTGATTGCTGATGTGGCAGTTCTTGTGCTGTTGACACGTGACAGGGTCGACTGCAGATGCTGGCGTGGCTTTGGGGAACAAGACTAACTGCTGACGTGGCTGGAAAGAGTCATCACACCTGTCTTATGAGGTGGTGACTACCTGCTGACGTGGCAACAGACCCTGTGGCTAACGTGGCATGATCTGACTAGCTGGACGGTGACGGCATCTCAACATGACGCGCGGAAGTGGCACGTGGCGAGGATCAGACTACACATTTGCTGACGTGGCATCTCGTTATTGACAGATTGGACACGGTACAAAGTGCTGACGTGGCAACATTTGCTATATTGGCGCTCCAGGGATGATAGGTGGCAGGGAGGATACTGCCAAGTAAGAGGTGCATTCTAAAGATGACGGCGGTACAACTGACTGGACTAATTACACAGTTGTAGTGCCATCTGCCACGGAGAGTGCGTGATCGCACTGACATCAAGAAGACACAGCAGACTGATAAAGGTTGATGACAAACTGTTTTGTGGTTGTTGTTGGCATGCTTACCTGTTGTTGTTGTATGTGGTGTTTGCGTACTTACTTGTGTGTTGTGTTTAATCACACGGGTCTGGCGCGGTATCTGTACACTAGGGCGTCATCACACAGACAAAAGAACAACAATTAGTAAAAATAGAGATCTGTTCCTTTTTATTATTTCTTTTTAGTTTTCTGTTCCACCATTGCCAATATTGTCTCAAATCTGATTTCCAAAATGTTTGGTGTGTGGAAATTACTTTTGTTTCTTTTTCCAATGACATTCTTGATGGGCGAAGGATCTTCCGAACTCAAGACTAGGAGACAGACGGAAACAAAGAAAGAAGAACTATTGTCTCTATGGTACCAGCTATTGAATGATTTGCATCTGTCCGGACCGGACGCTGAACGACACGTACGTAATATATTTGATTTGCAGACGGTAGAAAACCGTCTGAAGCAAGCAATTACGGTCGCGGAAGTTGTGGTTGCCGGTGCCGAAGTGTCTAAAATGATGGCCCAGTGTCGGAAGGCACTAGACCAGTTTGCTATCAAGTAGCTGGAAGAAACCATGGAATTGTCTAGGAAAGGAGAAATCAGACCAGAAGTGACTGTGGCTACGATAGACGCAAACATCCAGCAATTAAAAGAAGCACTGACTGCGGAAGAAAGGAAGAAAGAAGAACTAGCCCGGAAACAAGAACAGGAACTGAAACGGAAACAGAAAGTAAATGAAATCAGACAAGTAATAGGAACAGAAGGGAAAGAACAAACTGACCTGACACAGACGTTGTATCACATCATGGCTTACCTCACCTTCTTAGAAGAAAAGATTGACAAACAACAATGCCAGTTAGATGAGATTGTTGTAGGATTGCGAACTGTCACAAACATTGTGAAAGGAAAGCATCCAGCAGGAGAAAAAGAAGAAGAGGTTAAGGAAGAAAAGAAAGAAGTCAATAAGTTAATGGGTGATGCAATGAAGTCTGCTGTTTCTCAAGATCAGAAAACGTCTAATGGAGGAGGGAAGTCGTCTAATGGAGGAGGATCAAGTCCGTTTCTTCTCCACCGAACACTCCTCCTTCTTCTCCTCCCTCCTCTCCACCTCCACAACCTCCAGCTTCTCCGAAAGGTAAGGTAAGTACGGAACCGGAGAAGCCGAAAAGAAAAGAAAAAGTGAAGATGAAATTTCCATTTTATGTTTTGCAACAAGAAGGATGAGAACTTGTTGCTTTGGATCGCGGAAATTCAGACATATTGTAGCACGGCCCCTGTTGAACTTGAATCACATGTTGGTTTCTCTACCTCTTGTCTTGGGGAGGAAGCTAAGGAATGGGTATTGGTTGAAGCTAACGCTGAAGGGTTTCATGACATTGGTGAATGGGCTAGGACATTGACCCTGAAGCAGTTCCTTAGCAAGATCAAGGAACGCTTCCTCGACGAGACAACGACCGATAAGGCCTTCGACCAGCTCACCACCATTGGCCAGAGACATTGGACCTTTGTGGAAGCTTTGTCTCGGGAAGTTGATCGGTTGCTGCATGTTCCTGGATTGAACCTGCAAGACAACCAAGTCTTGTATATCTATTCCCGCGCTCTGCCTGAGCCTATCCGTGGACAACTCGTGGCAGAATCGAAATCCGGAAAGTACAATTATAGGCAGTTTCGCAATTTGGCTCTCCAGCGAGAGCAAATGACTTCACAGGTGAAGAACTCGTATGCCTCTGTAGTAAAGTGTGGCGGTGGAGGAGGCGCAGTCGTAGGTAAGCGGGTACTCTGGCGCCAAAAGCGTCAGGACCACACCCTCGTCGTCTTTGATGACGATACTGTGGAGAAGTGGCCATTGGAGGCCGAGGGTGTGGCGAGCAGCAATGATTCCGGGAAGGGGGAAGTCACTGCTGCCGTGGTCAACAAGGGGGGACCACGACCACCAGAAAAGAAGAAGAAGCCACGCTCGTTTCCCGAACATCCCGGAATTACGACCGGGAGGCCATGGGAAAAGATGGGGATATCACAGGAATTGTGGCAAGAACGGATGAACAATGCACAATGTTTAAAGTGTGGTATTGCGGAACAAGTGATTGCCTGGTGCCCACTCATCCGTAACCCAAAAGCGAGCAGCCAGTAGGAGTAGCATCTGCTCCTCCTGAGTTAAAAGGGTTTGGACCAAGAAGAAGGTAAGGCGCCTACGATCCCTTCCAACCCTTTGACTTGCACGGCAGAGGATGGTTCTTCCTCGGCCCATCGTCCAGAACACCCTGAACCTGTCTTATGCATTGTCTCTCTGGACGACTCTCTTGACGAGCTTGGTAACGAGTTGTTGGCATTACGAAGCTCGTGGGCTAAGAAAGCAAAGTCTAAGGGTGACCTACTACTCGCGGACGTAGAAATTGCACATACCCGCTCAGGTGCTCTGTTGGACTCAGGATCCACGCGATCCTACATATCCGAGAAAGCAATCCGCAAATTGCATATCGGAATGAAGGTAAAGAATTTGTCTCGACCAATCACGTCTATCTTAGCTGACAAAAACACGATCACTGTCTCACAATATGTTGATCGTGTGACGTGTCGATTCCGTACCAAGGAAGGAAAAAAGATTATTCACGAGGTTTCCTTCCTTGTAGAAAAAAAGTTACCTTTTGATTTGATTCTGGGAATGGACTAGCACGAGGAAGCCAACCCAAATATCAATTTCAAAGAGAAGATTGTGCAATTGCGAGATGCACACTCTGAATTGAAACCTATCAAACTGTATCATAAGTCTGGCTCTGACTCTAGTCTGTCTTTCTGTTGTATGAGTTATCCAACATTCAGATCGATGGTTTCAAAGAAAAGGTTGGAATAGGAAGTAATGATGGTATTGGTAAAGAAAGCAGGTGAGTCTTCTTCTTCCTATCCTCCTTCGACCGAAAAACTCCTCAGCGAGTACAAAGAATTATTTACTGAACCCACAAGAATAACTGAACGTGCCATCAAGCACACAATTGAAATTATTCCTGGCAGAAAGATTCCCAAGGACACTATATATCGCATGTCTTCTAGGGAACTTGAGGAACTAAGGAAACAAATGCAGGACTTAACAGAGAAAGGATGGATTCGCCCTAGCTCCTCCCCTTATGGTGCCCCTGTCTTGTTTGTGCCCAAAAAGGAAGGTGAGTTGTGTCTCTGCATTGACTATAGAGGGTTGAATGTTGTCACTGTTAAGAATGTCGAACCTCTACCACGAATTGACGACTTACTTGACCAGCTACAAGGATGAAGGTATTTTAGCAAGATCGACCTGAAGTCTGGGTATCACCAGATCGAGGTGGAACCCTCTGATCAGCGTGAGACTGCTTTCCAGACCAGGTATGACCACTACGAGTTCGTGGTAATGCCCTTCGGACTAACGAATGCCCCTGCTACCTTTCAAAGGTCAATGAATGACTTGTTTCGTCAATGGTTGGATAAGTTTGTCATTGTCTACCTCGATGATATTCTAGTGTACAACAAAACACTAGAAGATCATGAGAAGCACCTTCGTCTGGTGCTTGGGAAGTTGCGTGAGGGCAGTTTCAAGATTAACCCCAAGAAATCTGAGTTTGCTAAGTCAGAAGTGTTATACTCTGGACACATAGTGAACGAAGAAGGTCTAAGGCCGGAAGAGAAAAAAATTTCAGCAATTAGAGATTGACCACAACCTAAGTCTATAACTGAATTGCGATCTTTCCTTGGTTTAGCTAGTTACCACAGGAAGTTTGTTAGGAACTTCTCACTGATTGTTGCACCAACGAGAAGATTGTTAAAGAAAGAAACAATTTGGTTGTGGGATAAGGACTGTGAGTCTTCCTTTCGGAAATTGAAGTATGCACTAACTCACTACCTTGTCCTTAAGATTGCTGACCTGTCCTTGTCTTTCATTGTTACTACTGACGCGAGTCAGTATGGGATTGGCGTTGTTCTTCAATAGGATGATGGCAAGGGCTATAGGCCCATAGAGTTTATGTCTACACGATTGGCGTTAGAGAAGGTTGCCAACTCCACCTACGAACGTGAACTTTATGCCTTAGTCTGTGCGTTGGATACGTGGAGACACTACCTGCTAAGGAGACACTTTACTATGTATTTAGACCACTCGACACTACAGTGGATAAAGACACAGTCAAGACTCTCTGACAAGCTAGTAAGATGGTCTGCCTTCATTGACACCTTTGACTTTGAGCTTAAAACTATCAAAGGTAAGTCAAATGTGGTTGCAGATGCTTTATCCCGACGCAGTAACTTCTTTGGTACAATTGTCTCATACTTGGATATTGGGAATGACTTAAAAGACCAGATTCGTCAAGGATACGCTACTGATCCAATTTGGAAGCCAATCATGGATGTCCTTGTACGAGTTCCCAATTACCAAACTATAGAATACTCGATGGTTTGCTTTTCTTGATAGATCAAACAGAACAAAGATTGTGTATTCCTCACCAAGAAAGAATTAAGAGTATGTTGATTGGGGAATACCACGACTTTGAAGGACATTTTGGATTCAAAAAAACTTACGCAGAGGTTAGAGAACGCTTCGAATGAAAGGGATTAAAAGAAGATGTACTAACTTATGTACATATCTGTCTGGTGTGTCAGAGAAACAAGCCGACGCATGAGAATCCTCTTGGACTTCTCAGACGATTACATATACCAAGCGAACCAGGTGAGTCCATCTCAATTGACTATATGAGTCTGGTTAAAGTCGCAACGGTAATAGTTAAGTAATGGTGATTGTGGACCATTTCTTTAAATATGCGATGTTTATTCCCTTACTTGCTGAAGTAAGGACTGAACTTGTGATCGAGAAATTTCAGATGAAATGGGTAACTGAGTATGGTTTTCCTTTATCCATTGGATCTGATCGAGATACCCGGTTCACAAGTATACCATGGCAAAAGCTGATGGAGGCATACGACATACGTTTGACCATGTCGTCAGGGCAACACCCTGAAACGAATGGGCAAAGTGAACAAATGAACCGATTGTGCCAACAACTTCTGCGCATGTATGTAAGACCTGATCAAATTGATTGGGATGGGAACTTACCCAAGATAGCCAGTGCATATAATAGCAGTGTCAACACCGCTATGAACGCCGAATGCACTACATAAGGGATGGAAACCTAGGCGTCCCATTGATGTGTTAACATGGGACAAATTCCTTAGATTACCACCAGGGACACGAGAATATGCAGTTTTATTTCAAGAAGACATAAAGAAAGTAAAAAAAAACTTAAAGAAAGCTCAAAGACCAAATGATTGAACAAGCTAATAAGCATAGAAGACCATCCACATTTAAAGAGGGTGATCTGGTCTGGTTTAAATCCAAAGAGTTTTCATTAGAAGAAGATGTATCTTAAAAATTGTTGCCTGTCTACTTTGGACCCTGGGAAGTTCTCAAAGTAATTGGAGATGCGGAGGGATCGTCCTATCGCATTGATATTCCCCCTCATCTCAAAACATATCCTGTCTTTCACGCGTCCAAACTGTTGCCCTATATAGAAGGGAAAGAATTTCCTAACAGACCCTCTATGATTCCGCCATTTATGGAAGGCAGATATGAAGTAGAAAAAATCATAGAGCATGGATACTTCTCTACGGGAGCACGTGGACGACCTTAGAAGCAGTTCAAGGTACGTTTTAAGTCTCAGGCACCATCTGAGGACAGATGGTTTCGTAAAAGATTTTTGCGGTGGAACTCGAAAATGGGCCGGCAGGAATGCAGTAACCCTGTTCAGAAGCAGCCTGGGGCCTAAAACTCAGCCCCAGGCAACGCAAACCTGAGTCGGTCTGCACTGGGTTGTGTGACCTAGACACGCCCAGGCCTGAGTCTGCTGCGTTTGGCTGTGTGACCAAACGCTGCACACTGAAAATTCAAGGGTCAGAGTCAACTGTAGAGTCAAAGGTACCGTGCCCAGGCCCTTGGTTGGATACACTCACTTGTTGTGCGCAGGTACCCAGACAGCATCCAGGCCGCAGGGAATTCGGTTGCGGACCAATCTGGGCCCTCGTTCACATTGAGATCTGGACGACTGAGTGACGCAGCATCCGGGGTCCAAACCCTGTGCCAACGCTACATAAGCGCTGACCTGCTGGCTTTGACATTCATTCATTCTATCTTGCGTTGACGCTAACTTCATGCATTGACTACAACGCTGGCTCGACGCTGCTACGCTGGCTCGACGCTGCTGCGCTGGCTCGACGCTGCTGCGCGGGCTGGACACTGCTACGCTGGCTCGACGCTGCTACACTAGCTCGACGTTGCGAGGCTGGTTGGACGCTGGCTATGCTGGCATTGTGATTTCGGCAACGCGCTGCTTGTCCGGCATGGTGGCTGGCTTGCACATGTCTTCTTGGTATGCTGACGTGGCAGCTACCACGCGCTGTTGCTGATGTGGCCACTGCTACGTGTATACTGCTGATGTGGCGAGGCTACGGACTTGTATTGCTGTTCTGAAGATCGTCGTTCTGGAGAAGATCAGGACTGTGGAGGATCATGATACGTACCTGTTGTCTTCATGTCGACATTGCTCCAGTGCTGATAAGATTTTGATTAGACGTGCCACGTGGCACATTGTAGAAGGACTTCATTCAGACTATTGATTCTTGAGGTGTTGATTGAGGACAGAGCCCCAATCAGGAGTGGGCATTGTACTTTCCTCGCCCTTGTCTAATCTCCCTCCTCTCTCTTCGTCTATGTATGATTTCCTCATCCCATTCTGTCTGGTTACGATTTTAATTATTGGTAATTATCAGCGGCTCGATATTCTGGACTTGCATTGTTGACGAGTGTCTTCACGATCTGGGTTCATTGCGAAAGGGAACATTTAAATCAAAGAGAAAGAGAAAAAAAGAAAACAGAAAAATTCGAAGTAGGGGGGGGGGCAAGGGGGATGAAAAGTGATGAAGAAGAGAGAAATAGGTGAGAGAGAGAAAAAAAGTGAAGTGGGAGATGGAGGAGATGGGATTAGTAGAAGATGGTGAGTTGGGAGGAGAGGAGAGAAAAAGGTGGTGGGAGATGAGTGAAGAGGGAGGTGGGAGGAGGGGGGTAGTGGTAGAGTGAGAAGGTATGATCAGATGATGGGGGGAAAGGGAAAAGGGGGTTGCGGGAGGGTAGGTTAGTGGAGAGAGAGAATATCAGGCTCTTGGTTGGCCAAGAGCAAAGCACTACCAAGATCCACAGGATCTTGGCCTTCAAGGTGCTGCTGGCTTGATGCCACAACAATAAAAAGGTGATAATGATGATCTAGGGTTGGCTGAGATCTTGATCAGCCACCCTACTGCCAGAGTCACACAGCCCCCTAGCCAGGGGGGGAATCTTGAGCTGCTGCAAAACTGCTGCTGCAGCAATAGAAAAATAGTAAAAAAAAATAATGTGGCGCAGCCGCCTAGCCAGGGGGGTCTTCAGTCTTCAGAGCAGGTTGCCACGTAGCACTGCAGATGGCCACGTGCCTAGGCAGCAGCAGCCCGGGGGCGGGGGGGAGGGGTTAAATAGCTGGCACGCACCTCTTCAACAGCAGCGTGCCACACTACAAAGCCGTACATACAGTATGGCGAGTGTGTTACGGGAGCAGCCACGCACGCGCAAGGCCAGCAGCTGCCTGGGTTCAAACCCAGGCGGCAACAAGATCCCGGATCTTGATAATATAAATCCACGAGCGAGGGGGGGCGGGGCAGTGGGGCAGCGTGGGCGCGTGCGTGCGGCGGCCTTGGCCTCGGCGCTTGCGCGCACGTGTCGTGACGGCAACTCCTTTTTCCGCCACATGGCGCTTCCTGCTGCACCTTTTTTCCCTCGTTTTTGGTGAAAACCGGTCGAAAAACAGCAAAAAAACCCACTGTCGGGTTTTGCTGTTTTCCCTGCTGTGCGGTGGGTGGGCGAGAGCGGGGAACGTTCCCACTCCGATACCAGTGTGGCGGACCCACCAGGTGTGGTGCTCCGCCAGGGTCAGAGATGGAGATGGAGGAAGAAGGGGGAGCGAGATGGCACAGCGCAGCTCGCACGCCAGACTCCAATGCACGTACTCCAAACTGTGCGAATGCAGAATGAATCGGAAAACAGACAACAACTGGGATATACCCCAGCGGACTGACGGGACTGGACTGGACTGGCTGGTACGGACAGAGGTACCGGCCTGGACTGGACTGCCCTGAATACAACACAGGCCTGTGAGAACAGGCCAAGGGGCTGGTCTCACAGGCCAACCAGAGGTCCACTACAAGGAAGCTGCAAAGATTTTGGCGGAGAAGAGGGCAAGGAAGGAGAAGGATCTGGAGAAGAAAGCAAAGAAGGTGGCTCTCTTGGAAGAGAAAGCCAAGAAAAAGAAGGAGCAGGAGGAGTTAAAACGGTTGTAGAAGGAGAAGGAAGCAATTGCAGCCGCCGTAGAAGAAAAAGAAGAAGAAGAAGAAGAAGAAGAAGAAGAGGTGGAGGAACCTCTGTAGAGGAATATAAGAACTGAAGCGAGGGGGGAATCAAGTGGTGCTCGTGAGAGAGAAGCAAAGATAAAGAAGATGGTAACTGAGTGGGGGGCAAATCCGGCCCTGGGGAAAGAGAAGGAAGCCATGTTGCTTGTCCCACAGGCAGAAAGGAAAGTGGCGGATCAGAAATTGCGAGAGGAGGCAAATCCCTTGCGCCAACAGGCCAAGGAGGAAGAGCAACTTTTGGAGTGGAAACTACGCCTCGCAAGGGAAAGAACGAGGCGACTGGAGGCGGCTGGGAGCACAAGTTGATATGGGTAGGAAAGTAGAACTCTTATCCCAGAATGTGGAAGTCATGCTGAGAGCCCAGTAGGAACAATTGCGTTATCTTAGGGGCCATGATATTGCCCTACAGTCTATGCGCCTAGGCTTCAAGGATTTTGCACGTGAAATGATGACGTGTTGCCGGCAAATTGCGCACTGCGGTAGAAGGCGCAAAAAGATTCTGCGCAGGTGCCATAGTATAAACCACCAACAGTCCCTCAGAGCCATGGGATCGGGAGATCGCAGTAGGCTGGCGCGCGTTAGCGCTAGCGCTATGGTTGGCGGGCCGCCGCGGCATGCGGATGGTGGCATGCTGGTTGCTTGCAGGCGAGGCGCTGGCTGGTCGGAGGTGGTGGGGCACTGGCTTCTCGCAGGTTGCGATGCGCTGGCTTCTCGGGAGTGGCGAGGTGCTGGCTGTGTGAATACAGCGAGGCGCTGGCTGTTGGCGGGGGGCGAGGCGCTGGCAACAGGTGAGTGGTGGGGCGCTGGTGACTTGCGGCTGGCGAGGCGCTGGCTCGGGGTGACTAGTAAGATGCTAGTTGACATGTGGCGTGGTGCTGGCAGCCGACGGGAGGGAGGCGCTGGTGCGAGGGCGCTGTGATGTTGTGAATTAGATGGGGGATAGCGCTTGACGCACGCGCGGTATCCAGAGGCTCTGGGTCATTACTACGTCACAGGCTGACGTGGCATCTGGCCTGAGGCACATAGGAAAAGGGAGAATGGTAGCGGCAGCTGCTGTTTGAACATTTTCCCTGTGTTTTTCACATGAAGTACTCCATAGCCAAGACCTTTAAAGAGGCTGGAGAACTCATGCGAGTTGACGAAAGTCGATGTCGGTGGAGGAAAGTGGAGTCGGCCCCGTGGAGACCAAAGTGCGGAGAACGTTGGTCCTACTTGAAGAATYATCACAGTGCCACTGGGAGAGTATCATCAAGAGGGCGGCTAGGAGGTCATCATCAACCGATATATGTGCTTTCGTCTGTTTTTTTGTCTTGTGCAAGTTATCCATCAAGAGCATCAAGATTTTCATCATTGTGATTTCAGCGGGGGTTTTTCATCAAGGACACCGTCATTTTTGTAATCCTCATTTGGTTACGGGTGGTAATCATCATCGGCTTCTCTAATTCGTCATCCATGTTATTTATCTTCTTTTTATCTTCTTCATGATCATCATCCGGACTTCTCTGAAAAAATCGTAATCATCCTCATCTTCTATTTTCATTTACAGCAATAGTGAGTTGTCAATCTTCCACACCGATGTCATTAGGGCATCGCAAGTCCGACGTTCCTTACTTATTTTCGCCAATTTTATTTCATCATCATCATCATCATCATCATCTTCATCATCATCATCTACCAATCATCATCATCATCATCATCATCATCATCAATCATCATCATCATCATCATCTTTATCATCATCATCATCATCATCATCATCATCATCACGGTTTCTTTATTTATTTTTTCATCAATCAGTAGTTATCTCTGTGTTGGTGGTTATATTCTCATCTCCCAGATAGGCTATGGTTTAGTTGGTAGGTAGGTTGGTCAGGAAGGGAGCGCTACTCCGCAGGGGTAACACAAGGTGGAAGGTGATTGCCCTCCAAGGAGTAGATGTAGACAATGGGAGCTGACCTGAGTTGGGGCTGGGAGATATGTATGGGGGCGCATTATCTCCTGGCGGAGGCAGATTAGGTCAGAGTGTTAGTTTTGAGGTACACCTTTTGGGGGAACTGGTTACCTCAAGGTAGAAGGGAATGGGGAGGTTCTCTCTCTCGTTGGGGCTGATAGGAACTTCATGCTGATAGCGGGGTTGGGCTTAGCGGAGGCAGCGAGAGGAGAAGAGGAAATGAGGGGAGAGGAGGAGAATACATGGAAGAAGGGGAGGGGTGGAAAGAAATAATCATCAGCGTCGTCGTCATTATCCATCATCTTTGTGATCTTCTCAAGGTACTCGTCAAATTTCATCGTCAGAAAGTTTTGCTGATCAGGATTCTGATATTATCAGATCCTTGATTTTTGGTTGGCATTCTAGATTAGCTAATTTCCTAATTGAGTCTTCTTGTGTAATGGCCAGGTTGAGTTGCCGCCAGAACGACGCTAGCCGGCGTTGGGGCAGTGCCCTGTAACCTGCTTGTGTAGGAGCTTGAGGCTTTGTATAGAGGTCTGGAATTGCCGAGGGAGGAAGGCAATCTGCAAACTTGACTAATGGCTACAATCTGGCCGACGATGGTCGTAGCTGGGGTGGGGAGCGCTGCCCTGTAACCGAGCCAGATTGGGGTGTGAGATCGGGAAGAGTTCTGATTGGTGCACAGCACGGGCTCAGTTGTGATTGGTTGTTTGGAATGGATACAGGAAATTAGGGATAGTATAGTAATTCAGTGTCGAGTAGACAATCTTTCTGAATACTCGTTATCTAGCTCTATTTCATGACCTCAATCACCCACTCTGACATCCTAAATCATCCAAAATGATCCTCAATCATCCCAAATTTTCATCAATTGTCAATCATCAATGTATTCCCATTATAAGGGACGTTGGGCCCGGTTCCCAGCACGTGATGCTCCCCGCGAATAGATTGGAGCAATTGAAAAAAAAAAAAAAAGGTGCCAAGATAGCGGCCCCAAAGGAAGAGGAGGCATGGCCACAGCGCGAGTGCATTAAGGCCAAATTCCTTGAACCCTATAGTAGGAAGAAGGGAGAGGACTTTGATAATTGGGAAGCCAGTATCAAGTCTTATTTTCGCTTGCAGAACATTGCGCCAGAGAACCATGTTCTTGTGGCGTGGCACTAAAAGATGAAGCGGCCAGTTTTGCTAGGTCGCTTTCCCGCGCTGCCAAGTGTGACAACGATATGGTCGCATACTCCGACATCACTAACTTGAGCGATTTCCTGTTTGCCCTTTGTGAGCGGTTTGCAGACGTCACTCGAGGTCTTAGGGCATCTGACAAACTACAGATGATCCACACGCGATAGTGGAGTGTAAGAGCACTGAAGGCCGCCATGGATGAACTTGTCGTTGTCCATGGACATGGGGTCACTGAGACCCAACTTGTCCAGTTGTTCTACTGCGCCATGCTCGAGACTCTGCATGGGCACTTCTTCGACAAAAAACAGCAACCTAATATGACGTACGACACGCTCAGTCCGGAGGTTGTTGCTTTCGAGGCCCAGTCCGCGCTTGTTACCACTTTCTGGCACAAGGACCTTGCAAAGGGCAAGAAGTGGAAAGGACATACCATTTCAGGACGAGTCGAGGCAAAGGATAGCCTTATCCTTACCATGGAGGAAGGTGGTATGGAAGAGGTCCACTACAGCGAGATTGCGTGTGGCCTAGATGATGTAGACAGTAGTGAAGGGCACCCTGTTGTCACGGTCGGAGGGAGGCTGCAAGGAAGAGGAAGAGGCCAAGGCCAAGGGGGCCAGGCCTTTGGTGGTTGAGGGCAAGGCGGCCAGGGGAAACCGCCAAGTGGGAGGTAGGGGTCAAGGTCCCCCGTCAAACCGCCCGCGTTCCAATCGGTCACCCTCCCAGAGGGGGTGGGTGGCACCTTGGTCGGCATGAGGGCGGACTTGGAAACGCTGGGTCTTGAGCAGACAGATTGGCAAAAGAGGATAGATGCGGGTCAGTGCATCTTTGCGCCGACCCTTGGCATATTATAAAATTTTGTCCAAAATATAGGAGTGTCCGGCGAGCGGCTACTTAGGCAGCAAACGGCAACCGTCGGTAGGGGTAGCGATTGCCCTTACCTCTAGGCCATGTGGAGATGAGTGTGCATGCCAAATAGAAACTCCCACTCCGCGTGAGCCTATGGTAGAGGTTGCTGGCCAGTTCCTAGTCAGTTGTCCCAGAGACTGCTTGTATTAGGGTCTCTCTAGGCGCTTACGTCATAAGACTGGCAGAAGAGCTAAAGGAGAGAATGCAAACCTGGGCCAAGATGAAGAAGGAAGGAAAAGGGCAACTATTATTAGTAGATGTGGAGGTTTTTAGAGGCAGGGTAGGAGCCCTTATAGACAGTGGGACCACCCGTAGCTATATTAGCCGCAAAGCGCTGAAAATAATAAAGCTTAGCTTGAAAGTCCAAAAGCTAGACGAGCCCATAGTCAACATCCTCGCAGATAATCGCACCATGCGAATCAAGGATTATGTTGAGGGAGTCGCGGCATATTTTCGCCTAGAGGCGGATGGGAAGATAGAGAGAGTTCTCCATTCCCTGACTCTCATCGTCGAGTATAATCTCCCATTTGATATGGTCCTAAGAATGGATTGGGGAGAGGCAGCAGAAGCCACATTGCATTTGCGTGAGCATGACTGTAGGCTTCCTAGTCCTTCAGATGGTGTCAAGACGACCCGCCTGTTCCATGTGTCAGGAGTAGATAACTCCTTGGCACATTGTTGTCTTAGTGCTTCTGCGTTAGCGCGATTAGTTAAGGAGGAGCAATGAGAAGAGTGGGTTTTTGTAGCTTATGTTAGGCCAGTTATTGAGCCTAAAAAAGAGGAACCAACTAACCCCATTATTGCCAAGTTGTTGGAAGAGTACGCAAATCTGTTAGAGGCTCGTTGAGGAGTAGTACTGTGTCCCATCCAGCACCATATTGAGATAGAGTTTGGCAGTAAAACTCTCAAAGGAGCAGTTTATAGAATGTCTCCTAAGGAGTTATAGGAGTTGTGCAAACAGCTAGACTGTTACGGACTCCGCCAGGGCTCGATCCCTGGTCTATCTTTTTGCTGTTTCGGCTGCATCCCGTTTTCGGCCTGGCACCCTTTTTCCAAACACCTCCTTTGGTGTCGTAGGATTTTGGACAACTGGCGCCATGCTGCAATTTGGGCGCCACTTTCAAATACCGCATTTTTAAGTTCTACCCTTGGGGCCTTTTCAGAAATGCCCCTGGTACCGTACGTGTCACCGGTACTTATACCGGCTCCCCATACGGTACAGGGAAACCAGTCTTGTACCAGTTTTCTGTTGCTGTACTCGTACTCATTGTGACTTGCTGTTCCAGCATTCGGAATCCAAGACTTCGACTTTGTGCCTTGCCACTGTATCTGCGTCCGACCCTCAGTCCGATGTGTGTGTGCTCTCACTCTCTCCCTCTCTCTCTCTCTCCTCTCCCTCGGCTCACCCTCAGCCTCACACCCGTCACATTGGTATCGGAGCGGTTCGAGCCCGCCCAACCCACCATGCTTCGTCGCCAACACCTGGCCATCATCAGCATCATCGTCGTGATCGTCGTCGCAGTGCCACGTCATCGTCGCGATCGTTGCCGTTGTGCCACGTCATCATCGTCATCGTCGCGATCGTCATCGTCGTGCCACGTCATCATCATCACCGTCGCGATCGCCGTCGTCGTGCCACGTCACCGCGCCGTGCCATCCTCATCATCGTCGTTGTTACTCCGTGCAGATAAGTAATCGACGACAATTTTTTTATTTTTATTTTTTTTATTATTTTCTTTTTCTTCTTTTACT